CGAAGGATAATGCAAAAGAAACCGTTGAAAGTAGGACCACATGTACGGGATTGAAAGTGCACGAGTTTCAAACTTCGAGCGAGTTCTTTGAATCTAGTCGCCATTGCTGCGAAACATTCTCCAAGGCATATTCAATAAGATTTGCAGTGATCACCGCTAACGAATCTTGGTAATAAAAAATGATCGAGGTGGAACTTGCTAAGCCGTCGGAGGCGGAGTCAGCTTAACGTTGCTAAGCTCCGTTATCAAAATCCCGAAAACAGCTTTGAAATCAGCTCTAGAAGATGCTGCAACGGTGTAGGCTCAACGGCTTCATCGAAAATAGATTCATCACTCGAAGTCTTCCCTAAAACCGAGCCTTCAGACCTAGCCTTCCCTAGTTCTGGAAGTTTCCGTCAGCAATACACATATATGCGCAGCTTCCGCTACGCACACACCGGTTAAGTTTTTGAGCCAATCGTTCCAACTCTAGCCATTATTTTATCATGAAACATAATGCTCGAATAACGGCATTATATTGAAAGCAAAGGAAATTAAATTGTACCAAAAACACCTATAAAATAGCTAAAATGAGGAAAAATTTTCGTACATTTTGTATTTAACACATGTTTCAGCCGAAGATCCGTCAAGATGTTATTGCTAAGCTGTTACATTTGTACTCCAAAGTGGTTATGGGTGATGAATACACTACGTCGGAAATTGCGGCGGTTGCAATTATTCCTAAGAGGGCACTAGCGCTGTATATGTTGGCAAGCATGACTGAAGAGAAGTGAGTTCTGTTTTCTCCCTATCTTCAAGGTCTGGTTCGGAATAGATCAAAAGGCCTACCTCAAGATCTTTGCACTTTGATATGGTAGGGAAAACCCCACAGATTTTGTAAAGTAACAGTGGAGTGAGTTGAACTTCAGGCTGAGTCACATCACCTTTTACAGCATTTGTGAACGGTGTTATTTCGATCCTATTGAATGGATGAATGAAATAGAATAAATTCTATTTTCAAAAACTTTGCAATTCACATTTGATGTTATCTCGTTCAGGCTAATGATAGAGCGCTACTTTTCGTCGTATATTATTCCGTACAAAATGGAAATGACAAAAAGAGTGAGATCCATGATTGATCTGTTCGAGAAGTTGGACGAGTTTGAAA